ATGCGTTGCCTATATATACAAGACTTGAAGGAGAAATCGTTTACGATTTTGGCTGTGCACTACAAACGAGATTTTTCATCACCTTCATCTTACAAAACTTCATTTATGTAAAACATCACTTGTGTGATACTATTTTGCTAGAAAACACATATTGTACACACTTTCAAATATTGTATTATGTAATACCTTGAGAAAACTGGGTTGTGATTTAAACTCAAGAAGATGTTGACGGTTGTCATCGTATCTGTGTAATCAATTTTGATTAGTGGATTAAGACCTCGTTGAGAGAGGTGAAATCACCTTGGCGGATGGTTTGGAGTAGTTTGAGTTCAAACAAACCAGGATAACCAACGTGTCTTTTACTTTAAGTTTTAAAAACCCCAATTCAAATCCCCCTTCTTGTGTTTTTCCATTCTTCACAATGTAGGAGAGAAATTATGGAGGGCGATCACGGATTTAGTGGTTGTTGCTTTGACTCAAATAAAAACTATAAGAATAGAGTATATGAGATGGAAAAAGCAGATAGAGACATAAGGCATAAGGGGAACGCACAAAAAAATAGTCCCAATGATGATTGGATCATTGAATATGAGAGAGGGTGGTAACAATTTGAAGAGAAAGATGATTAGCTCTATGATAAAAAGGGAAATACATATATGTTTTTACTACAGGAAACTAAAATTTCTAATATGCAGGAATTCGTTGCTAAAAGCTTCTGGAGTGGTGAAAAAGTGGGATACTCTTTTTCTAATTCTATTGGTCAATCGGGTGGCCTTTTCACTCTTTAGAAGGAAGGTACGGTGGAAGTAGTCTGTAGCTTTGTTGGAGAGGTATTTTTGGGAGTTAAGGTGAGGTGGAGGAATTTTACATACTATGTTGCCAACGTCTATTCTTCATGTGTCTTTGGAAAGAAAAAAATCTATGTGGAAGTCTTTGTTGGAGTTTAAAGAGACTCATACTACTGGAGTGTGGTGGATACTTTAATGCAGTTAAACATCAAAGGGAGATAAAAGGGAGGTCGAGCATTTCTAGACATTCCAAAATGAAGGCTTTAGCAGAATTCATCATAGATAGTAAACTTATTGATATTCCTTGTAAAGGAAAGAAGTATCGTTGGTATAACAGAGATGGGAAGGCAATGAGTATAATTGATTGTTTTCTTGTATCGAGTATCATAGTAGACACATGGGGGGTGATTGGCCAGAACATCGGTTTGAGGGACATTTCAGATCATTACCCTATTTGGCTAGTGGTGGATAATGCGAATTGGGGTCTGAAACCCTTCAAGGTCAATAATGAGTGGTTCTCTAACAAATATTGTATTCCATTTGTGGAAAAGGAGTGGAAGACTATTAAAGTCGAAGGAATGAGTGATTTTGTGATCAAGGGAAAGTTATGGTTACTTAAAGATAGGCTTAAATGGTGGAATACAGAGGTGTTTGGTAGGGTAGATTTGGATGTGGAGGATGAGGTGAGGGAGTTAAATGTGGGGGATGATTTACTAGAGTATAATATCAAGAGTAGGCGGGTCGAGGGTTATGGTAAGAGGAAGGAAGCTAATAGTCGTTTTTGGGTGAACTTAAGAATAAAAGAAAAATATGCTCTTGCAAAAGTCTAGATTAAAATGGCTTAATGACGAAGACTCCAATAGTAGGTTCTTTCATCGGTTTATGAAAGATATAAGGAATTGAAATCATATTGGTCTAACCAATTCGATGGGTGGTATGTTGGAATCAGTAGTTGAGGTTAAGAAGGAATTCTTGGCCCACTTTTCTAGCAAGTTCACAGAACCAGAGCAAAACCGACATGTTCTTGATGGTCTTGTTTTCAATTATCTCAATTTTTTCAAAAGGTCTTTCCTTGAAGCTTCGTTCTCAGAGGGTGAGATCAAGGATGAGATTTGGGGTTGCGAGGGTTCCAAAAGCCCCGGTCCAGATAGTTACACTTTCTTATTGATAAGGCGGTGTTGGTTTTTCTAAAGGAAGATTTTGTTCGTTTCTTCAATGGTTTTCATAAAGAAGCTATTTTGTCGAAAGCGATTATCTCATCGTTTTTTACTTTGATTCTGAAATCTTCTCATTTGTTAGGATTGGCATATTATAGGCATATATGTCTTGTTGGGTGCTTGTACAAAGCTCTTGCAAAGCTTTTGGCTGCGAGGTTGAAGTGTCTTCTATCATTTCGCATTGTCAAAGTGTATTCGTTCCGGGTAGGAAATTGTTGGATGGAGTTTTTGTGGCTAATGAAATGGTGGATTTTGTGAATAAGAAGGGTCTTAGTTGTCTTCTCTTTAAGGTAGATTTTGAAAAAGCTTACGACAAGGTGAATTGGAGTTTTCTTAGGTACACGATGAAGAGGATGGGTTTTGGCGACTTATGGATGTCTTGGATGGAGGCGTTGGTTTTTAATAGTAAAATGTCAGTTCTAGTTAATGGTAGCCCGACCAAGAAGTTTTTGGTGGAGAGGGGTTCGCGTCAAGGCGACCCTTTATCTCCTTTTCTTTTCGTTCTTATAACGGAAGGGTTATCGGGTTTAGTTAGAAAAGCTGTTGGGAATGAGGATTTTTAAGGCTTTTTTATCAATGGCAAGTCTATGATTGATATCTTCAATTCGTGGATGATACTTTATTGGTGGGAAACAGTAGTTGGAAGCATGTTTGGGCTATCAAGGCGGTGTTAATGGGTTTTGAATTGGTTTTGGGCCTTGGTATTAATTACCACAAAAGTAAACTTATATGCATCAACGTAGGCGCTAATTTTTTAGAGGCGACATCTGGGTTTCTTTCGTGTAAAATGGAAGACCAAGAATTCATTTTTCTTGGCATTCCTATAGGATCCAATCCTAGAAGGATTTCAACATGGACTACACTTTTAACTAAGATGAAGAAGCGTCTTTCTAGTTGGAAAGGGTGTTTCCTTTATTTTGGAGGAAGAATCACTCTTCTTAAATCCGTCTTGAGTTCTCTTGCCATATTCACTCTATCTTTCTATAAAATTCTGGTGAAGGTGGCTAAAGAGATTAATAAGATAACAAAGGAGCGGGGAGAATACATTGGGTGATGTGGAAAGAAGTTAGCTTGCCAGTAAATAAAGGAGGCATCGGCTTGAAGAGGATAAAAGAATTCAACTTGGCTCTTTTAAACAAGTGGAGATGAAAGATTTTAGAATGTCCGGAAGCGTTGTGGTTCAATCTTTTAAAGGCCTAATACAAACATATATCTTTGCCGGTCGCAGATTCTAGAGGCAGCAATAACGATAGTGTGCCAAAATATGCCTGGTGGTGTGACATTATCAGTTTGAACATGAAAGTTAGAGAAGACGCTTTCATTAATAATTGCAGGTCCGAAATTGGTTGTAGTTTTTACACTTCTTTTTGGCACCCGAGGTGGTTGGTCGAAGGCAGATTGAAGGATTTGTTCCCAATGCTGTTTTCCGTTTCGTGTCTGCAGTTTGTCTCAACAGCGGGAATGGGTGGATGGTTGGCTAGGGTCTGGCAGTGAGGGGATTTTAGGGTCCCTGCCAATGTCGCACAATAGACAGCAATTTCAACAAAATTGTTGAATCTTTGAAGTTTGTTGTTCGAATCTGACTGTATTTCGGATGGCAAGGATCATATTATTTGGGGGCTGGAAGCGGATAACAAGTTTTCGATTTCTTCATGCTATGCGTTTTTTGTTGGTTTCCATATCCCGTATAGTCCTTCCAACCAATACGACATGACACTGGGTTTCGTTTGGAAGACGAAGGTCCCATTCAAAATAAGGGCCTTCGGATGGAGATGCATTATTAATCAGCTTCCGACGAGGGATCTTCTAAAGATTAGAGGCATTCCTTTGGAGTCATTAAATTGTGTTCTTTGTTCGACAAGTGTCGAATCTTTAGAGCATTTGTTGTTGTTTTGCAGAATGACTCGTTTGGTGTGGAGGGAAATAGTAGTTTGGATTGGTTTATCGGAGTTTTCGGGAGATGGTTTCCAAGGGAGTTTCATGTGTTGGTTTTCTTATTGTGAGCACATGAAGGTGAAAGATGGGAAAGAGGGATGATTTTGGTTGGCGACTTGTTGTAGGTTAAGGAACAACATAATTTTCAGGAACAATACTTGGAACGTTCTCAATGTTGTTTGGAATACTAAGGCTTTACTTTGGAGATGGTTTTTTTATGGGAGATATTACTCAACCCAAATGCAATTTCTACGAGTTTTGCAACAATCCTTTATATTATTTTTCGTAGTCGCATTTGATTTGTAAATCTCTCTTTTTGTCGAGCTTTGTGCTCGTTATCTCTAATAATCGAGATCGAGAACCCTTTGTTCTCTTATCAATATACCTTGCTTAAAAAAATTACTCTATCTTCAATTGTCATTTGATGTAAAATTTACATTAATATATTAAAAATTAAAAGATAATGCATTGTCGATATAAAATATTTTACACGGTCAGTGCATCACAATCCTTAAAAAAAAACTAGTTGGTACACCTGTGCGATGCACGAGTTTAATTAAATAATTGATAATAAATAAATTATATTTGAAACATAAAAATATCAAAAAAGTATTAATAATTTAAACAATTATTATAGAAAAGTGATTATTTATTTATATAAATAAAAGGATAATTTTCTTGATGAAAGCTTATTTTAGAAAATAGTTAAAAAAATAAAAATAAAATATCATAAATATACATAAGTAAAATGAAAAACAAAAATAAAATAACAGCTATAACATAACATTAAAATTTATGATAAATAATACAACAATAATCTTTACTTAAAAAAAGGTTAATATCCAAAATTTGAAACCATCGTTAACCTTCAAAGTGAAATATGTCATGATTTATTTGACGGTGTAAAACTGATTCCATTAAATCCATATATTAATTAGCTTCTCCTAGAAAAAACAATTAATCTATTAATCTAATGTTAAGCTTAAAAAACCCACTAAACCGGTCCCTGCTCTGATATCTCGAGCTTTGGTTCGTTGGTCAGATTATTATCATTACCAGAATGTCAAATTTGTTCAACTCCTGGTTATGGCTTTCTCGCCTTCGTTCATCTTCATTCAAGTCATCCTTTCACCGCACTCTCCATAGCATCACCACCACGCCTCGCAAAACCGCACCCACATTCTCCTATCTCTTCAACTCACACAGAACAAGCAACCCTTGGACCACATGGTCAATTCCTCTCGCTCTCGCTCTCTCTGCTGGATCACTTTCTCTTCAGCCTCGTTCTGACTCTTCCTTCTCCGACTCTCTCGATTCCGATGTCAGGTACCGCTTTCTCAATTGTATAATACTGATCGCATGTTAATCATCTTCTTCACGTTTTTATTTCAACTACTTCCATTTCACTTCTCATCATCTTACCCTAAATGAGGTCATGTTCTGGAACCGAGAGGAATGGTTTGATAATGATGTGAAATTTCTTATAATGGATGTTAGCGGTGTCAGTATTGGAGGCAAAGATAGCACTCAGTATGTTGTTAAGGGATCACAGAAAGAGCTTCCACAAGAGCTTCTCCAGGAGTTGAAAATCATCTGTAAGGTACAAAATCCTAGCTTATCTCAATATCTCATAAATTTAAGCCAGAATGCTTGGGCTGGTTCTAGTTTGTTAAGAAGATTTGGTTATTATATATTTTGCTCTCTTTTTTGCTGTGTTAAGAACTATGAAGCACGGACACTCCGAAAACAACACCGAAACTGACACGGCGACACCGTTAATGATTTGAGAAAATGAATAAATTAAACGTAATCACAAGTGTTGGTGTCGGTGTCTGACACGGATACGACTTTTTTCAGAGGGGTGTCGGTGCTACATAGGTTAAGAATTCTTTTTAAAATGAGACATTGTGTTGCATCTCAGGCTTCAGCATTGTGTTTATCAGTCGGGATTTTTATAATATTTGAAATCTACAGGATAACATATCACTTGATTATGATGAGAGATATTTCCATGGAAAACCACAAAACAGTTTTCACAAGGCTGTCAATATCCCAGATGTGATTGTTTATCCGAGGTGACTAGCTTTGGATCTTTGGCTTAAATTTTTTGTTCATCATTTTTCTGCTCATAGTTTCAAAGTGCTGCAGTGATTTAGTGTAACCCTTGTAGGTTTCCACTTCATTGCATGTTGGTACTTGCATATTTAGTGTAATCATTTTGCAAATCATCTAAGCTTTGCAATGCTTAAATAAAATGTTCTCTTTTTCCATTTCAGTTTTCAAAATAAGACTTTTGAATTTACTCTATGTTGTGCTATGTGGAAATTGTGTTATTTTTGTTTCCTTTGTGGAGTTGTAAATTGTGATAGTACAACTACTAAAGTGAATATGCTAGTGGAATAGTTATGGCGGTCATCAAAGAGATTTGGTCTAGAATCTAGCTATTTTGTTAGTAACCGGTACCATTGTTCTGAACACCACCACTTTGATAATATCACAGACTCTCGTAGAGGAATGCTATGGGCTTGACAATTTTTGCTCGTGGTATTCATTTATACACATAACTTGTATTTCTTTCATGTTTGAACCCCACTGGTGTTTAAAATGGGAGAAGTATTTGTAGTTGATTTCTTTGTAGAAATAAATTTCTAGATAGCACGGTCATTTGTATGCTTACTAAGCATACAAATGACCTGCTTACAAAACAATAAATTAATTCATCTCTGTCAGTTCTTTGAATGCTGCAGAACCATATTTTTTATGGTCCCTTATGTTAAGATTTTTTTCAACCCCATGTTGACTTCTTTCATATGCATTGAAGTATCAAAAGTACAAATCCTGCTCGTACACACACATTTTGTCTGACGTTTTTTGACAAACAAATACATCAAATGAAACACACTAAAAAAAAGGCATCTAGAATTGACATGAGTGAACACAGGAGAGAAGGAGTGTTAACACATTGCCATTATATTGTAGTGGTAAAGTTAAAGCATCCACTTGTATTTTTATCTTTCATTATACTGATTGTCTCATTTGCAGATCAGAAGAGGAGGTCTCCAAGATTGTCAAATTATGCAACAGTCATAAGGTTTGAGTTCTCTAACTCATCTAACGTTAGTGAATGGTGTGAACATGTTTAAACTGATTGTTTTACCTTTTTACCATCTTGTTGTAAAGCCACGTGGATCAGAACAAATAGATCTATTGCAATCCATCCCTTTTCATCAGTGTTGTTGGTCTATTTTTGTTCACAGTAAACTTTTTTTCTTTTCCTCCATACTTGAACTGTTCTGCTACTGGGATAGTTGATCACAAATATCATATTCATAGTTCTTTCTTTTTGGTCTTCAACTATTCATCAGGCAGTAATTTTTTATTTACTTAGCTGTAGTAGACATCCAACATGCTAAGTTTGATCTCAAAGTGAAAGGAAATATAACTTGGCCTATTTCAATTTTTTTCTCTAGACGTCCTTGTTTCTTCTAGCACTATCTACTTCTTTTATTGTTAATTCACACATTATTTGAAATTACTAAGATTATACACTTCTAAAATCCATGCCTTGGCCCTTCCCTAATGATTTAATTTTATAATCAAATTGTTATATGGCCTGTGGAAGGCATATGATAGAGTGCCTAGAGAGATTATGTGGAAATCTCTAAAGAAGAAAGAAGTTAGGATTGTATATATTCGAGCTATTCAAGATATGTATGAAGGAGTATCGTCTAGTGTGCGGACACAGGGTGGAGAGACGGACGATTTTCCCATTACAATAGATTTGCATTAAGGTTCAACCCTAAGCCCCTATCTTTTTACTTTAATTTAGCAGAGAATCAACACGAGAATAAAATAAATGTAGCAGAGATGAGGATGTTGCATTGGATAAAGTTAAAGCATCCACTTGGTAAGGCTAGACGAGATAAGATTTAGAAATGACAATATTAAAGAGAGTGTTGGGGTATCACCTATAGGAAAAAAGATGGTGGAAAATATACTTTGATGGTTTGGGCATGAAGAGAGAAGGCATGTAGATTCCGTGGTAATGAGAGTAGATCAAATGGAGAGAAGTTAAACAACTAAAGAAAAACTATAATAGAAGTTACTAAGAAAGATCTTGAGATTAACGATTTAGATAGAAGCATGGTCGTGCATAGAACATTATGGCGGAAGTTGATCCTGTAGTTGACCCCACTTAGTAGGATAAGGCTTGATTGTTGTTGTATTGTTTTCTTTCAATTTCATGGATGCATAATGTCAACAACGACTGTATTCTTGAAAAACTGTTTTCATTAATTTTTTTAAAAACAGATTCCTATTGTACCTTACGGCGGAGCTACATCGATCGAGGGTCACACTTTATCCCCCAATGGAGGGGTTTGTATTGACATGGCATTAATGAAAGTATGTACATATTAGAATAATCTGGTTATCCATGTATGTATCATTATATAAGCAGTATATTTGCCTAGATTTATTTAAACATGCAGACTACAGTACACTTGTGCAAATAGGCACAGATTGGACTTAAAAGAAGAACTATTTTATCTGTTATACTTACACACTATACTGCCTACGGTTGAATCTATAGAAAGTGAAAGCATTGCATGTTGATGACATGGATGTGGTTGTTGATCCTGGAATTGGGTGGATGGAGCTTAATGAGTATTTGGAACCTTATGGTCTGTTTTTTCCACTTGATCCCGGTTAGTTAATGTGTTCTGAGAATATTTCTTATTGTAGTTGAACATATGAGTCATGGAAACCTGGAAGAAAGCATTGATTTTTTTAAATGCCTATTCCCTGAACATTGAAGCACATTTTACTTGTTACAAGCAGGTCCTGGTGCAAGTATTGGAGGAATGTGTGCTACACGCTGTTCTGGCTCGTTAGCTGTGAGGTGCTTACTTTTCTGTTAAATGTTCATTTCATCTATTGCTGGCTATCACTGTCATCTGCTGGTTTAAATGTTTAACATCTCTAGGTGTTAAATTGTCAGTCCTTTCGAAGCCAAGTATTTGTTTGCTTACTGCTTATTAGTTTAGTTACGATTACTGAACTCAATTTTGATCAGTTTGATGTAAATCCTCCCGGGCCTGATGGTTCTCCTTACTGATCTGTAGGTATGGAACTATGCGTGATAATGTTATCAGTCTCAAGGTTTGTTAATCCCAAATTTTGGTAATGCATAGGTGTGTTTATATATTTAAAGTGCTGAGTATGTTACACTACTAGGTAGTTCTTGCCAATGGAGATATTGTGAAGACTGCATCTCGAGCTAGGAAGAGTGCTGCAGGGTTTGTTTTGTTCCTTTCCTTTTATCTAATAACCAACTCCACTTATAATTTTCTCACCTTCCATGAATGGAAGCTTCACAACTTCTTTAAGTTACGTTGCAAAACACTTCATTGAACTCCCTGTGAAAAAGATATGCAATGAAATGCTCTTATTAATTTTCTTTTTATACATTCTAGGTATGATCTGACGCGTTTGATGATTGGGAGTGAAGGAACTCTTGGTGTCATAACAGAAGTAACACTGCGGCTTCAGAAAATTCCTCAGTTTTCAGTGGTACGTTGATTCTCTCTTTTTACTTTTGGGTGTATACTTTTCGCTAAGTTTGATCTTATAAACTGAAATATGTTATTATCGTCGATATATGAAATATAAATGTTATGCCCACTTGTTACATAATTTGATTGAAACTCTAATAGGATACTAGTTTGGGCTTTAGCCGAATAGAAAGGCCTAATAGAGAATCAGTTATAACTGCTTATGTCAGAAGGGGGAAGGGTAGTTATATAAGGACACCGATAGCAAGGGAGAATTCATTATGTGTATTTTCGGATAGCAACCTTTTGGGTTAGGCAGAGTGAGAATATCTCTCCTCTGAGGAGCACTTTGCTCTGGGATTATAGGGATTTGTCTCTGTAATGGTTTTAATTTCAATCAATAATACATTTTTCATATATCTGAATTTTGAGTTTCTATCAATGTAAGCTGTATCATCCATATTTCTAACTTGGATTGCAAGGTCACTTCTTTCCAGTTTCTGTCCTGGAAAAAATCAGTGCACGTGATGTGATTAGTGCAGCTTGCAAGATGCAGATGATACTTTTTGATTAATTCATTATTATATAGATTTCATTTTCCTATTGAATATCATCCAATACTTGTCTGTTGTTTTCGTAAAATATTGGAATTATCAAACGGAGATTTAGAATTTTAAAGACTGTTTGTGTCAACAATCAACATCATGTTATGTCATCATACAAAAAAGCTTATGAGCCACTACTACTCTGGTCTCAAACATAAGCAAAAAAATCTTATTTTATAAGCAAAACCTAACTAGTTTTATCTTATTTAATGCTATTATTATCATTATACCTTTCAATGAAACACGTTTCCATACATTCCATACAAAATTAAATGAAAATAAATGATAGTTTGGGAAATGAGATTATTTTTTAGACTACATCAAGAAAATTATGAGGTTAACCACTATTCTTAATATGTGTGTAGTTTCTTAGTTAATTTTGCTTATCATTGAGACCGGAGAGAATACAGTTCTATACCATCACAGTTAGTTAGCTTTTAGTTAGGTGGTACATAAGGCAATATGTCCATAGATAACTTGTTGCTTCTTTTATTCTACAAGAATGCATTTGAGCTATTGCAATATGCGCATAATGTGAGTTATTTGAAATCGTACAGATTACCTAACTAATCAAAGAACAGGTTGCAATGTGCAATTTCCCTTCTGTGAAGGATGCAGCAGATGTTGCTATTGCCACTATGATGTCTGGAATACAGGTAGGATTCTGACTTTAATTTTTTATATTATATCATTCTTGATCCAATCATGACTTTTCTGTTTGTGGTGATTAGGTGTCAAGGGTTGAGCTATTGGATGAAGTTCAATTAAAAGCTATCAATATTGCTAATGGGAAGAGTTTTCCTGAAAGTCCAACTTTGATGTTTGAATTTATAGGAACAGGTGAATATGCATATGTATAATGTGATTTTTCTTTACTAATCATTATTTCCCACATACATGCTGTTAAGAGTCCCACATCGGACAATGTAAGGCCGGAACATGTCTTTATAAGTGAGGGCAATCTTCACTCTACAAGCCGGTTTTGTAGGATCGAGTTAGGCCTTAACCATATTTCTTAACATGGTATCAAGAGCCACGTTTAAGCTCTGGTGGACCATCTTCTATCAGGTTTCCGCTATTGAGCCATCCACCATTTATTTTCACGCTCCAGATGTCCAGTAGTCCTGAGAGTGAGGGTGTGTGTTAAGAGTCCCACATCAGACAATATATGACCTGAACATCTTTATAAGCGGGGGCAATCCTCACCCTAAAAGCCGGTTTTGTAGGGTTGAGTTAGGCCCAACCACATATCTTAACACATGTGTATTTCCCTATGAATCCTGAAATTAGAGAAAATTTATGTCCATGAGATTAATCTTTGAAGAGGGCAAACATAGCAAAGGTAGAACATGAAAATAACAATTCTGTCGGGCTATCTCATTATTGGATACCATGTGAATCTGTTATCTATTAACTGAGAAGATTCTTGGGTTCTAATGATGTAAGCTTCTCATACCATAGACATACAAAGTGTTAATGAAGTAGGCTTAATACAATGTTCTTGTCAATAATAAATAAGGTAGTGTCCTTTTTAATGAATGCGCCACATTTTGCTAAGTAATTGTAGTACATAGCTTACTGTTCATCTTATATGTATATTTTTCAGAGGCATATGCACGTGAGCAAACGCAAATAGTTCGAAAAATTGTTTCTGAGCACAATGGCTCGGATTTTGTATTTGCAGAAGAACCTGAAGCCAAAAAAGAACTTTGGAAGGTACAGTTTCCCCAAGCTTTTACATTTGTTGGTTGTTTATAATTTGCTTCATCAGAGTGAAGTCCATCCACAATTAACAAGATTAGGATTTTGATGAGGGTCTCTCAAAGTTACTGTGTTGCCACCCCAATTCATACTTTCGGTTCTATCTTGTTCAATTAGATGTGTTGTAATTGATTTTACTATCGAATAGTCAGTATTACTATTTATTTCTACTTTTATGTGAATATCTTGTTCATATGCAGGCAAGGAAGGAAGCACTCTGGGCTTGCTTTGCTATGGTACCTAATACGGAAGCAATGATTTCGGTGAGTTAGATGTGAGACGTATATTATAATTTCTACACTGTTATTTACATGTTTAGAGTTGATAGGAACCGTTAAAGAATTTCATCTAATCCTCAAAGAAAATGTATTCTGTTTGATTTAATAATAAATGTGGATTTAAGATGGCATATGCTTATTGTAGATTGGAAAATGGAATAAGAAGAATGATTTGTTTTCTTTCATTGAACATATTTTTCTCACATCCTCTTTTTCATTAGTAGTACTGCCTCCCCTCTGTAAACATCTTCCTGCCCCAAGACCAAAAGAATAGAATACCTGGCTTGAGATAGAAGTCTTTTAAGATAACATGTTTTTGGTTTCATTCCCATTCAAATATATTCAGATTTACCGAGTTTTGCATTAGTTTCTAAGGATTTGTTTGTGGTATTCTTACTTCTGCAGGATGTATGTGTTCCTTTATCTCATCTAGCTGATATAATTTCAAGGTCTAAAAAGGAGCTGGATGCATCGTCACTGGTTTGGTATATCTGATCAGGATTATTTGAATATGGATATCGAAATTGGATTCAGTTGTATTATTTAGATTATGTTACTAATGCATGTTGTTATTGTTGTTTCTTGACAGCACAGTTATTGCTCATGCTGGTGATGGTAATTTCCACACGGTAATTCTATTTGATCCCACAAAAGAAGAACAGCGACAGGAAGCAGAGAGACTCAATCATTTTATGGTTCATGCTGCCTTGTCATTGGAAGGTATTGAAAACAAATTGTTGGCACATGTTGCCTGTTAATGTAAAATTTCAGCTGTCTGTAGCATTCTTTGTTTTTCTTCTTTAAATAAAGCAATTACAGTTTTGGAATTTGGTTTATTTTTCTTCTAAACAGGAACTTGTACCGGGGAACATGGTGTTGGCACTGGAAAAATGAAGGTACTGAACTAGTATATCTATGTTTCTTAAAATCTCTACTCATGATGTTAGTTACTGGTGTGATACTTTCCAACTTTACATAGTTAAACAAATCTTAGAAACTATGGACATGGTATGGTTTATACTTGCTTAAAATAATGACAACTCTATGGTCTTGCGCAAAAAAAAAAAACACTTGAATTTTTAAATTCTATTTACAAGAATATTTGTTTTTAATGGAAAAGTTTTTATATTTCCCTAAATGACACTTAAAAAAGAAGAAGGTATCTGGCCAATGCTACCATAGAAATAAGCCTTTGCATACTTTGCATGAATTGATTTAAACAAGAAATAAATCAATTCCTTGTTTCACAATTGGCTGTTATTATGAATCATAGTTTTCATGCCATGATTGACAATAGAATGTTATGTTTGATGCTTGATAGTTGTTTTCGTTGGTTTTTGGTTTTCAAATGGAATATGCCTTTAGAATTATGAGTTTATTTTAAACAATAAAATCCTCATCCCCGGGATATTTTTTCCAGTATCTTGAAGAAGAACTCGGAGTGGAAGCATTGAGGACAATGAAAAAAATAAAATCAGTCCTAGATCCTAACAATATCATGAATCCAGGAAAGCTCATCCCTCCCCATGTTTGTTTCTAAAAGTGTCCCTCGCTCCAATCAGCAACTGTGCAATACAATCTCCTCGAATTTACAACATTAGGTGATGTCTATTGAATCAGTTTTTTTGACTAAAGATGGACATGGTGCACCCTTTGTTCATTGAAATGCTCTCGGCCATTTCACAGTTTTTTTTTTGCCTCTCCTGTCCAAGAAAGTCTATATGAGAAGATGTAATGCGATAATTCTTTAACAGTATTTTCCATTTACCTTTTAAATAATACTCTCCTTAGGGTAAATCAACAAATAAATACATTTTTAATTTATAGTCTTTTACTATATTAAGTTGTCACATACTTTGAATATGATTGGGAGACAATAAAACAGTGAGGTTCTGTACATGTTTTATTGTGTTCAATTATTTATCAAGCTCATAAGATCAACTACATATTAATATTTGGCAAGTGGCATTTTCAAAATGCAAAAACTCCTGCTTGCTCTTGACGGATACGACTCAAATGCATCTTATTTTATTTGAAATCATACTGTTTACATTTAGATCATTGGACAGATTTGGATATGCTTCAGCCTACACGAATGATGTGCTAAAGTTGGTTGAGACTGATCTTATGAATGGTGCTTCTTTTATAATTATATCGGTGTGTTACTCACATTGAGTACGCTTGAGAAGTACTTGTAGGTTTTGATTGAAAGTTTGCAGAGAATGGAAAGTGAGTTTCGAAAAAGGATTTAAAAAAAAACAGAAATTTTTAATATTTTTTGAAAAAAAAGATTTTTGTATAGAACAATAAAAGAGTGTTTATTATTAATATTTTTTTAATTTTTGAAATACTATAACATCATAAATTATATATGAACAATTTGTCTAACTTCTTCTCGAGGAAGATTCAAGAAAGTGTCTATATAATGGTTTACTTGACAAGTCTTGAAGTTTCAAATTATGAAAGAGGAAGTGTGAAAGCTTACCCTTTAGCGTTTGAGTGAACCGTGTTTGTAAAAACACAAATGACTTTTCGTAAAGTTATGCGGCTAAAACACACACGCACACTAAAACAAGTTTAAGCCTCTATTTCTTAAGAAAATACTCTAAAAGTGTATTGAAATCGTGCCAATTAAATTAGGAACTGTCTAAATGATTTGGGACAAAAATTGCACTATCCAATCAATTGACACTCATACCCAATTGATTGGGTTAGTGCAAAAGTTATTCCTAAACATTTGTGACACCATCTTAATGAAAGGAAATGTTTTTGGATATTTTCTTTTCCTTTTAAACATCCCAAATGATTATTTTGAGGCCTTCCAATTGATTGGATAGTGCGCCAATCAATTGGTACATTAAATTTGGCCGTAAAATTTTTTATTTTTTGTTAATCTCTAACTTATAAATAGAGGCTCTCTCATTCACAATTTCACATTCATAAAATGTGAGCTTCCTATTTCATTTCTCACTCTCTAAAAAATATTTTTCACTTTCTCTCACTTAAAATTAGTCGTAGCACTTTTGAGAAAGTTTTTTTTTTTTATGTTTAGTGAGGAATCTTGTATTCTAGAACGATTATAATTATAAATTCACCAAGGAATATTTTTTATCTTGGTTGAATAATTTATCCATAAGAGAGTGTTTGTTTGAGTTCGAAGCTAAACTCTTTAAAAATATTGGTTTGCAGATTTAGGTCGCCAGTTCGATTTGTAAGCTCATCATGTTTAAAAGCTTTTCCTGATTCAAGATAAATTTGGTATAAAATATCAATTTGATTCGTGCTTATCTTGGTAAAAACCTCAATTTAATTTGTAAGCTCAGCTTGGTTATAAGCTTGCCTTGGTTTGAAATAAGTCTGGTTTAAATTCTCAATAGTTCGTGGTTAGCCCGGTCAAAAGCTCAGTTCCATTTGAGTTTATTCCGGTTCAAAAGCTCACTTTGGTTCGAGATAACTTCGTAGAAAACCTCAGTTTAGATTAGGAACTAAGCGCTTTAAGTTGTTGTTTGGAAGAAAGACTAACCGATACCCTCTGGTGTTTATTGTTTGGGAGGGTTCGAGAGTTTAACATACTAAAAAATATTAATAATTACTAGATACACTCAAGATTAAATCTTTGGGAAAGAATTATGCCACTTCATTTCAACCGAACCTCTATAATTTCTAGTGTCACCTCTCTTACCCTTAACTCTTTATTTTCTGCTTATTTAAATTTCCGTTGCTAATTTCTAAAAGAATTTTATCAAAATGTTTTTAAACTCTGATTAAGATAAAGAAAGTTTTTCAAACTATTGGCTTTCTGAAACCCATCATAATTCACCCTTTCTTGTGTGTTGAGTCACATGTTCAACATTTGTGTCCTTCAATGGTGTAAAATCTCGTGTTGATTTTCGGCTATCTGGGGATACCACCAATCTCGCTGTTCTGAGATATTTATTGGATAATCTATTACCCCACACCGAGAACACAAAGATGGGTAAGATCAAATTTTGTACACCATGGGTTGATACCAAAGGAAATGTTAAATACAACAATATTGAGCTGAATATTAATAAAGATTTGAAGGTTATGTAGAGAATATATCACCATAGGCAAACAAAGGGATCTATTAAGTTTGATGCGACAATTGCTAGATCTGTTGACGATATAATCAAGATGATGAAATGTTTAGAATCATCTAGTAGTGTATACAATTTTCTATTTATTATTGTTAAAGTTATGTAATTGTTTGTGTTATGTTATGTTAATTGTCATGTGTTAAGTTATGTTAATTATCAAGTGTTAAGTTATGTTAATTCCGCAATAATGAAAGTGATAAAGTATTATCTAATAAACTGTACGGTTCAAATGTTTGAGTAATAATATAAATATTACATGAATAATATAAAATATAATAAAATCTACATAGGTCTCCCATGAGCTATGTGTGTTGCATGCGATGTCAAAGTATAAACTTCATCATTTGAGTTAACCAAATCTATGAGGTTATCCATAATGATTGATATCATCTATAAACATTGTTGGTTAACCACAACAAGTGGAGGCGGTGACACGTCATCTGAAAGTCCCATATCATTTGCATTCTCAACTGGTGGGATGATGTGAGGGTGTGATACAATAAGGTACCACTCTAAATAATCATCCACACATTACCCAAGGAACTGAGCCTCCACTGCATGACTTGTAATGTCATGAGCAGAGGTGACAATGTTACTCATAAACCATCTACCAATGCCCTCAGCTAGCACAATAGAGACTGGTCGTGAGATGTCTTTGACAATACTCAAACTGACACATACAACTCTCAGATAAGTATCTAGCCACTAAGATCTCCCATCATAGATAACTAGAAAAGGGAAGTGTCATCAAACTTCTGATGCACTCTATGATATGAGTAGAGTGTACATATGACATCGTCTATAATCAATGCATCAATCCTATTCATATACTCCATAAGACTGCTTAGGTGTGGTTGCTCGACCTTCCATCTCTTGGCTCGTGTGGAGCCAGTAAGTGTAGGAGTAACCCACCTGTCGTAAATGGGCGGGAAATACTTGTATATTCATACACAAATCAACAAATGTCATAAATAAGAATAATAAATAATAAATTTTATACCTGAAATAGACTCATATAACTGACAATCTGTCTCGTCTCAAAGATAATTGTCTCTCCAAGTGTAGAATATAGCACAGTCAATGAAACACACCTTATGTCCAACTGACATAATTAAGATTAGTAAATAAAGTCACGTACCTCGCATCGATATATACATTAGAGTTATCCGCTAAGATAATACATCTTATAAGATGTAGTATGTATACCCTAGCAGCTGTCTCATACATATATTACTGCACCGACTCAACATACCTATTATAGAGCCAAGATAAGTGAAAGTGAACACCATTGTTGGCCTTAAACTCATCTCTCACATGCGCCTCAGTAACCCATAAATCTTGTATAACAGTAATACATGCAAGCTCGTAACTAATAAGGAGCAATGAAGAAACTACCTGGAAGGAGGAGATGGAACAAGGAGGAAAAGTCATCCAAAGTAATCGTCTTCTCACCAAATGGAATATGAAATAAATATGCCTCCTTATGCCATCACTCAACAAAGGCTGACAATAGTGCAACATTGAGCATGATCAACAAACAATTCACCAATAAAAAGAGACTGCAATCATCGACAATATCCTCGACCTCCGTAGGCATCACGACATCTAAGAGCTTCTTCATCTTCGCCCCATGGGTGGGCACCTTTAGCGGTAGGAGGTCCTCTAACAAATAAAGTAAAAAGCATATGTTATTTTCAACGTATCAATAATAAATAAAAACAAATTTAAAATAACATATATATACCTCTCCATGTCATAATCTCAATGTCATATGATCGGATAATCCGATGAGCACAAAAAGGTCACTGAGTCCTCCAAGAAACCCTTCATTAGTGTGTACAAACGGCTCCATCAAAGCCGGAGTAGTTGCCTCTATCACCTCGGAGGAGTAACCTCCATATCACTCGTAGTAGTCGCCTTGTATCCGCTAGAGCAGTAGCCTCCGTATCCACCAGAGGAGTCACCTATGTATCATTCGTGGGAGTCACCTCCATATTAGTTAAGGCCTCTGTCTCAGTATGACGGGTCACCTTTGTCTCGACCACCATCTTCCTGTCATCCTGACCCTCAACCTCCTCAACTATTGTCTAGATATCGTTAACAATCGCAACATCAGGCTCATCAACATGATCTTTGGCACGTCCATCAACTCTAGCTCCTCAACGTCAGATACTGCATGATGCTCGAGCCTATTCAGCCATCCCCTCATGTGAGAATCGACTGGGGCTACTCTCCTCACTCGGATATGCAAATCCTCAATGTCATATGTCCTCACACGAGCCTTATTTTAGTTTTGTCAAGCTGTTTAGAAGCAATTGTTCTGTCCTTGTCCTCTGATCCTCACTGCAAAAAAAAAAAAAAAGAAGACGAAATATGAACTTTTAAAAATTCAAAAATCAACATGACTTTCTTGAAATTTTTG